GGCATGATTAGAAAATGCTTGGGGAATGAATGTGTAGTTAATATAGTTCTCTAACAAGTTTTAACTAAGTTTGATGCACTATAAAACAAAATATTTGACAATAATGAACCTGATTAAATCTCTTTGATGACAAAGTGGTGTTTAAAAAAACCTCACCATTTAAATGTATAGATATTTGAATTAAATCTTAGTCAGAAATACCAACTTGATCTCATGTTGATTTTAAATGTATGCAAATAGATACAGAAATAATTCTAGACACAGGTAGTATCCACACATGTATTTTCTAGCTCTAGTCACTGAGATGTACTCAAAGCAGTGACACACCAGCAGTAGTTAGCATACCTGACACAAAGATCTTGGGAGATTAGATGCTTTAGAGAAATGACTGATCTTAGGATCATAAGATAAGCTTAGCACAGTAAGACATGAAGAAGAAAAAAGGATAGTTTGAAGAAAAAAGGCCACAAGAGCCAACCTAAAAGATGCCTCAGTGGTCAAAGCTGTGATATTTTCAGATAAACACTGATTGCATTAGATTTTGCTATGGTTTGAATGGGTCCTCTCCCAAATTCAGGTGTTGAAAGATAATGACCAATAGGATAGTATGAAGAGGTAGGGCCTTTAGGAGGAGGTTAGTTCACAAGGTTCCTCCATTATGAAGGAGTTGAATACTTTATAAAAGAGGCTTCATGTAGCATTTGGCCATTTTGTATTTCCATCTTATACATGTAAGGACTAGCATTCCTCCATCTGGAAGTTAGAGCCACAGGCACCATTTTGGAAGCAGACAACAATTCTTAGCAGACAACCAAGCTTGTTGGCATACTAATTTTGGACTTCTTAGATCCAGAGTTGTAAGAAAATAAATTTCTGTTCTTTATAAATTATCTAGTCTAGTAGAGTTTGTTATACTAACAAAAGAAGACTAAGAGATTAAAACACAAGAATAAAATTAAATACTCATAAATCCATCCTGATATAAATGATAACCTAATAAATAAGTGGTAGAGAAAGGCTACATTTTTGATACAGAAGCATTCCAAGTAACAAATGTACAAGGAATTATGGAAATAAAAAATCACAATTATAATATAACAAAAATTGCTGTGGGCAATTTACTGATGAATGCTAAAATTTGTGGGTAAATCTTTAAGGAGAAACAGAATATTTGCAAAACTTCAAATTGTTTACCCTCAAATATCTTTTAATTATTACAAATTGTTTGACATTTCTTCCTTCATGAGAAGGAACTTAATTCTTCATCCTTTAAGTATGGGCTGGGTTTTTCATACTCTATTCCAAAGAACAGAGTATGAAAGTGAAAAGGTAGAAAGTGCTAAAGGTTTAGCATCACCAGGAAGAAGTCATGTTGGTATCATGTACATTATGATATGTAGCAGTGTGCTCTTCACAATACATGAACTTGTTTAATCATGAGCAAACAGCAGAATACAACCTGCAGACTAGATTTAATCAATAAACAGAAAAAGACATTAACAGATAGCATAGTGAAGTCTGAATAAAGTTTCTATCAGTTAATAGTATTGGATTCTCTTTAATTCTTAGTCTCAAAAACGTATTATGGTTATGGAAGGTGTTAACATTGGGGAAGCGGGCTAAAGGGTGTAAGGGAACTTTGTTTACTTTTTTGTTGGTTTTCTGAAAATTTAAACTTATTTTAATGGTAAAAGTTAAAAAGGCTAGATTTGAAAACAATATGTTTATTACCTTGTAATCTGACCTGAATTCAAAAACAGAGATAGAAAAAATTTTATTGCTATGATTTGTTGTCTTTACAAACAAGAATTCTCTATCTTATTCATAATATAGAATAAATTTAAAGGTACTTTCTAGAGACTATTCTTGAATTCAAATATATAGGGGTGAAATTCAAATTAGGATCATCATATTTACATTAACCTGTAATACTAGAAATATAGCTACTTTATTTTATTATTTTTTTACTCCTCAAGAATAATTGACTTTGCAGATTTTGGTTTCTCCCATAAACTGTTACAGATGGTTATGTAAACGTCAATGTTTTCTTTCCTGAATGTGAATCATGAAAATCTGAGATGGATATCAAAAACTAATTTAGTCTTGAGAACTTTCCCCTCTGAAATTAACCACAAATATACCTCTTTTAAGTGGAATATCTTTTCACAGCTAACGAGAACTGATTGTTCTAATAAAATAATTTAGAATTGCATGGTAGAATTCTAAAATGCTCTCCAAGTCCCATCTACACACCTATGTGGAATATAGCATGTGAACAAGAGCACATTGCTGCAGAGCACCAAAGAACACACAAAACTCCGAACAGAGGCTTTCCCAAACCCAAGTATCTTGTACTTGTTTAGATATGAAAAGGTACCCCAGTTTTCTTGAATGGTTAAGGGTTCATCCTTGATCACATAGAAAAGGCTAGGTGTGGTCCTGTTTATGTTCCTTTATTCCTAAGAATTTTGAAAAGTATGAGAAAACTTAATGAAATCCATAAATTCAAACAGCATTCATTAAGAGAAAAAGTCTGACACCTTAGCAAGGGCAGGAATCTTCTCCCTACTCCTCATCCAAGACTGCAGGGATTGTCTGAGGCAAGGATTCTGGACCATTCTCACAGAAACTGAACTCAAACTCTGCCTGATTATTTATGGGACCAAAATGTAAGGACATTCCAACAGGATCTGAAACTATCTTTTTTTTTTCTTTTATTCATACGTGCATGCAGTGTTTGGGTCATTTCTCCCCCCTGCCCCCTGACCCCCTCCCTTACCTCCCCCATCCCCTCTCTCTCCCCCCCACCTCACTACCAGGCAGAAATTATTTTGCCCTTATCTCTAATTTTGTTGAAGAGAGAATATAAGCAGTAATAGGAAGGACCAAGGGTTTTTGCTAGTTGAGATAAGGATAGCTATATAGGGAGTTAACTTGCATTGCTTTCCTGTGCATGTGTGTTACCTTCTAAATTAATTTCTCTCAAACTAACCTTTTCTCTAGTTTCTGGTTCCTTTCTCCTATTGGCCTCTGTCACTTTAAAGTATCTGCATTAGTTTCTCTGCATTGAGGGCAACAAATGCTATCCAGTTTTTTGGTTGTCTTACTTATCCTCATACTTCCCTTGTGTGCTCTCACTAGTTGATACTACTAGTACAGAGTGATAAACATGGATCTAGTTTCAGTTTTTTGCAGACAGATAACAACTTTTCCCAGCAACATTTGTTGAAGAGGCTGTCTTTTCTCCAGCATATATTTTTAGTGCCTTTATCAAAGATAAGTTGGTTATAGTTGTGTGGCTTCATATCTGGGTCCTCTATTCTTTTCCACTGGTCCTCATGTCTGTTTTTGTGCCAGTACCATGCTGTTTTTATTGTTATTGCTTTGTAATATAGTTTGAGTCAGTATCGTGATATTCAGGTTGTTCTTTTACTGAGTATTGCTTGGCTATTCGTGACTCTTGTATTTCCAAATAAATTTAATGTTGATTTTTCAATTCTTTAATGAATGTCAATTGGGATTTGATGGGAAATTGCATTAAACATGTAGTTACTTTGGGAGTATCGACATTTTCACTATGTTGATTTACCAATCCATGATCATGGGAAATCTCTCACTTTCTTTTTTTTTTTTTTTTCATTTTCTTTATTATTCATATGTGCATACAAGGCTTGGTTTATTTCTCCCCCTGCCACCCCCCCTTACACCACCTCGATCTCTTTCTTCAGAAGTTTATAGTTTTCCTTATAGGGTCATCAATCCTTTGTTAAGTTTACATTAGGTATTTGATTTTTTTTGAGGCTATTGTAAATGGAATTGTTTCACATATTCTATTCTCAGTTTGCTCATATTAGTGTATGAAATGCTAATGATTTTTCTATGTTGATTTTATATCCTGCACACTTGCTATAGTTTGTTGTTGTTGTTAGGAGGCTTTGGAGTAGAGCTTTTGGGTTTTAAGGTATATGGATATATGTCTGCAAATAGGATATTTTGACAGTTTCTTTACCTATTGTATTCCTTTTATTCCTTCTTCTTTCTTATAATTGCTCTGGCTAGAATTCCAGTATTAAGGTTGATAGGAGTGGAATAGTGGGCATCCTTGTCTCACTCCTGGTTTTAGAGGGAAATGGTTTCATTTTTCACCATTAAGTACATGCTTGGCTGTAGGTTTCATATATAGCTTTTTATAATGTTGAGGTACTTTCCTTCTATTACAGTTTTCTTAGAGCTTTTATCATAGAAATGGTGTTGGATTTTATCAAAGTGCTTTCTGCATCTATTGAGATGATAAGTGGTTTTTTATATGGCCTTCTGTTACTGTGGTTTATTAGTTTCTTGATGTGCATATGTTGAACAACTGCATTCCTGGGATGAAGCCTACTGGTCATCTAAATGATCTTTTTGATGTTTGTTGAATTCAGATTGGCGCTGTAGTTCTCCTTTTTGGAGGTATCTTTGCCTGGTTTTGGATAAGTATAATTATTGTCTTTATAAAATGTGTTAGGCAGTTTTTCTTCCCTTTCTATTTCATGGAACAGTTTTAAGGAGGGTTGGTTTTTATTCTAAATTCTTTTAAAGGTCCTGATAGAATTCAAGCAGAGAATCCTTTAGGTCCTGAACTTTTCTTTTTTGGGAGACTCTTGATTGTGCTTCAATTTCATTTTGTGTATGGATCTATTCAGGTGATTAATGTCCTCTTGGTTCAGTTTTGGATGATCATAAATATCTAGAAATCTGTCCATTCTTCAAATTTTCAAATATCTTTTTTTTTAAGGTACCAAATTCAAACTTCTTTACTTAGTTATCAAGATCTTTCTTATCTTGTCCAAGTTTATTTGCTTTTAGTCATTTAAGTCAGGGAGCATTTGGTTGCAGGAAAACAGAGCTGATCAATCTAGCTTGAAAGCAAACAATCTAATATTTGTTTGTAGGGCATAACTAGTTTTAAAAACGTAAGGACCCTCATCTAGGCAGTATTAGAAAGGAGGAGCTTAATAATGATAATCTCCAATCACCACAGGAAGCCACTGCTCTCCGAGTTCTACCAGCCTTACAATGAAAACACACAGCAGCAAATCATCAGGAAGACTTTCCATCTGGTGTCTAAGAGAGATGAAAATGTATATAATTTTCTAGAAGGAAGATTATTAATTGGAAGTTCTGACAACAAACTGATTTATAGACATTATGCAATGTTGCATTTTATCTTCTTTGAGGATTCTTCAGAAAGTGAGCTTGGCATTTTATATCTAATTCAAGTGTTTCTGGAAACATTAGACAAATGTTTTGAAAATGACTGTGAACCAGATTTAATATTCCATGTAGACAATGTTCACAGTGTCCTTGAAGAAATAGCAATGGGGGGAATGGGATTGCAGACCAACATGAATGAGACTGTAATGCAAATTGATGCATGGAATAAACTGAATAAATCCGAGGCAGGTTTAGTGGGAGCTCTAGCCCCTGCTGTATCAGCTGTAAAGAATATGAATCTTCCTGACATTCCAAGAAATATTGACATTGGTGACATCAGTATACAAGTGCCAAACCTGCCCTATTTTATATGAAATACTAAAAAGACCACATCCAGGTAAAATCCAGAGGGAAAAGTCTTCTAAGTTTACCATACACTTGTTTATCAAAAATAGAGGAGAAGAATCTTTGCTTTTTCTCTTGGATTTAAGTCAAGGTAGTGTCGAGTTGTGCAAAAGTCAGCATGGAAGTTCAATGTTTCTTTTGTTGCTCAGTGATTTTAAAGAAATCGAAGAGCTCCAGTGTGGTTTTCGTTTTTGTTTTTGTTTTATTTTTCTTCTTCTTTTGTAAACTGCATTCCTGTTTCCATCTAATTCATACCTTTGTGTACTGGCTATTACAGTATTTTGAACATTTGAGTTATTTCTTTAATGGTGTACAACCCAAAATGTTGGTGTTTGTGTGGATTTGCAAGTGCTGCATTCTTTAGTTCTTTCTGCTGTTTGTCACAATTTTGTTATTTAAAGAACCAAATATGTATTGCTTGAAAACATTATGCTTTTCTTCTCAGTTTAAATAAACTCCAAGGTAACTGAACTTCTAAAGAACTTTTCTGTTTGCCTGATATCTACTTTAGGAATATTGTTTTACAACCCTCTGGGTCAACAAAGTAATAGAAGAAAATTTTATAACCGTTAAAATATGATAATAGATAACACTGCTTAACTGATGCCTCATACTGTTGTGAGCACTCTCTGTGTATTACCTCACTTACTTCTCCTAGCAACACAAAGGTTTCACTGTTTCACTTCATCCTATATTTTTAAAGAAAGTTTAGTGGCTTTTCCTTGTAAGAGAAAAAGCTGGGGTTGACTCCCGGTGATGTGGTTCTAGAGGCCGTTTGTGTAAACCTCTTCCTGACTTTATGTCCCTCTGTGTTCATGTTTTCTCTGCAGAATGCCTCCTCCTCCTTCTCCATAATAACTACGGTTGTTCTGTGACTCTGGTTTGCTGTAGCAATGACTCTGGCCCCTCATCTGCTTTTTGTTTTCCACTCCTATGTGATGGGGTTCCATAGTTTTTCTATTCACATATTTAGATTCAGTCATCCATTTTTAGGTGCTAAGCCTTAATTCAATCAGATTAGGGAGGAAGACAGAAAGAAGACAGGCAGGTTTGGGCCCCTATGCAAACATGGTGGCACTTATCCTTTTAGTAACAGAGATACTATGAGCAACATATATTCTCTTAAGAAGGTTCTAGAACTCTAGATGAAATTGCTAGCATCTTTCTCTACTTATGAACTTATCCTTATTTTTTTTATCTGCTCTGCACATCTTTTGCAGTAGTCAGACAGATAAATTGTTTAGTCTCTGAATACATCAGTGCTACACCAGTGCTTTGCTCATTGTATTTATCTGGCCTGGAATTTATCTGTGCTTATGACCCAACCCCTTTCACTATTATCCATGCTTCAAACCAGGTAGTGCTTCCCAGCCCTGCCCACCTCTGAATGCCTGTGGAGCTTGACTTATCACATGCTTGTACTTTTTTCTTGCACCATCATTTACATTTGTATTACCATGTCTTTTTCTTCCTAAGTAGGTCAACTAATAAAGATTTAGGTTTCTTGAGGTCATAATCTATGTATTTAAATTTATATTTAAATCATAATGGTGGCAATTTTGTGCACTGATTAATGTGCTTATTGATTGATTGCAAGGAAGAAAGAAAAAAGATCCACAATTGGAACAGAAAATGGGGGCTAAGAATTGGGTTAAGAGGACAGTGAGGAAATTTAAAATTTGAGTTCCTATTTCACTTTGCCTCATTGCTTTTCTTTTGGCGGTACTGGGGTTTGTACTCAGGGTTTCATACTTGCTAGGCTGGCATTCTACCACTTGAGTGACTCCATCAGCCCCATTGCCTCTTTTTTTTTTTTTTTTAATTCTTAAAGGAATTAGAACAGAGTCTCAATTTGTAATGAATAAGGCCATTTCTCTTCACTTCTCAGCCTCATCTGTTTCCAGGTAAATGTAAGCTATTGATTAATAATACAATGTGCAACTAACAGATGTCCCTTCTCATGTATTTAAGTTATTCATTTCCTTTTTACATTAATTTTTTTTTTTTTTTGGTGACACTGGAGTTTGAACTCAGGGCCTCATGCTTGTTAGGCAGGTGTTCTTCCCACTTGAGCCACTCTGCCAGCTCCATTCTTTTCCTTTTTTTGTTTTTGTTGGCAGTACAAGGAATCTACCACTTCAGTCACAACCACAGTATTTTTCAGATTGGGTCTCACACTTTTTGCCTGGGCTGGCCTCAGACCACAATCCTGAGTGGCTAGGATTACAGGCATGAGTCACCTCACTTGGCCTTTAGGTCATTATGGAATAAATTTATTCTATAAATAAGTCAAGTATTAAGTTCTTTTTAATGTTCAATTATAAGCATAGGAAAATTTTAATCTGAGATTGTAAAATACAAAAATATATGTAAAACAGGAATTGTGGTTTAATCTGTGACTTTAGGCCAAATCTTTAAAAAATTTTCAATAATTAAAATGCCACATTTGCTTCATTATTTCCATTTTTTGCATACTTCATTATTTCACTGAGTTAAGTATATTTATTGAATTTCTTTCCTTTTATTTTTTGCAGTAGTGGTGTTTGAAACCAGGGCTTAACACTTGTTTGGCAGGTGCTGTTCGGTTCAAGCCACACCTCCAGCCCTTGTTGCTCTGTGGTTATTTTGGAGATATGGTCTTTTTTTGTTGATTTTTTTTTTTTTTTTTTTTGCCCAGGTTAGCTCAGGTCATGATCCTCTTATTTTATAGTGCTAGTAATTTTATAGTAAGGTGACAGTGTGTGCCACCATGCCCAGCTCTTGGTTGAGTCTGGGTATCTCAAACTTTCTGCACTAGTTGGCCTGCAACTGTGATCCTCTCAATTTCAGTGTCCCAAGTAGCTAGGATTATAGGTGTGTCCCACCGGTGCCCAATTACATTTGTCGAAATTTTAAAAAGCCATTTTGGCTAATTTGGACTTATTTCCCCAACTCAGTTTCTGGAAAGTATTTTCTATTGCTGAATTCTGCCTGTCCTAGAGAACTGGTAGACTGGACATATAGAGATGTAGAACTCTAAGGCAATTTGTCTTATAACCCAGGTGATGAGGCTTAATCAATTCTAATGGCCTCTTAGGTTTAGTTCTGTGTTTTATTTGAAGTAGTACTAGAGATTTTAGGCAAAGTGATGTCTTCTACAGTCACTCATTCATTCACAAAGACTTATTGAGCATTTAATTTTTGTCATTGTTCCAGAACAAAAGGTCACCAAGGTAGTACTCAACTTTACTAATCTTTCCACCTGTCTCTTGAATATGAATTCACTTCTCAAGTCACCAGTACTGGTCCTTGTGGACCTAGCTCCACAGTACAGTACCAATCTCCATCTCCTCTCTGCAGACAGGGAGTGCTCCATGATCATTCTTCTTTGTCTCTGCTAAGGTAACATTTTTAGGTTGTTTTTTTTTTTTACAAAGAATTCCCAAAGATAAAACTTTATTATCCTAATAAAGTTTTATAAACTTTAAGTACCTGCCGTCAGATTAAGAAATACATTGTACATTGTGACCTAATAAGTACATGTATGTATTGGAAATTAATCTTATGGAACAATCCTTATCCTTAAAAATACAACAAAGAAGTCACGAAATTAATATTGCATATGAGTTTGTTAATAATGAAACATAATACTGTTTTCTCTTTCATTTTCTTAAAATAATGATAGAAACCTACCTAATTTACTTGAAGACCTATTAAAGGGTCATGAACAGGAGTGACTTTATTGGAAAGTGTTTCTGGCATGAAAGTGGCTTTTATGCATTCCCCAGATTATACAAAAGAGAAGAATGCTGCTCTTTAACACATATATTATTTTCTTCTCCATTTCTACTTTGTTGTAAGAAGATCTCCTGAGTATAACAGAATTTGGACAAAATGAAGGACCAGCTGAAGGAAGCTCACAATCTTAAGGAGTCTTTTAATTCTGTTTTTACCATTTAAACACCACAGGAGTCTTGGGGAAGTCTTCACTGAGCAATTAAATGCTGAGAAATTCATCTGTATATCCAAATTTGGAAAAGTGATGAATATGCAATTTTGCCTCTAGCTATAACTCTAGTCTCCTCCTTCCTCCAGTCAAATAAGTGCATGCTTTTTGAGTATCTCCCATAGTGTTTTCAAGTTAAGTTTAAGTAGGCATCATGACACAAAAAGTTATTTTTTCCATGCTCAAGAGAGTTGTATAACATCTAATATGATCAGACTCCTTACTGAGTAATGAATATGGAAATTGGATAATCGGACTACAGTAGAAGGTTAAAATGAACTCCAAGAATTTAAATAAATAAGACCAAAGGACACGGAAAACTATGCATCTAAGTAGGAGAGGATGTGGCAATAGTTGTTGCAGGGCACACATTTTTTTAATCCAGTAATTCTTAAAATAACTTTTGTAACTAAAAACCGTTATAAGCAGTTTTACCATAATGAGTTGATAAATGTCCTGAACTTGATGAAGAATATTTAATATTATGTAGAAATATTAAGTTATATTCCTAACTCAGGGAGTTTAGGCAGGGGTAGATGTTGGCTCTTAAATTTAAACCAGGGTATAAAATAGGGAACTGCCAAGGTGTTTCATGACTTATGATTAGATTCTCAATTTTCAACACTGAACCAATAAGTTGTGTTTAACCACGAAGAGAGGACACGACATTTATTGCTCTGGTGTGGGTGTTTTCTCTCATCTTCTTGCCTAGCCTTTAAATTTCCAGCCTTAATTTCCTCTTAGTTTGGCTTTGTACATATGGCCTCCTCTGGCTATGGTTATACAAGCAGGAGACATTTAGATCAATAGATACTACACTGCCTTTTTTCATTGGAGAGTATCTTTCTTAAGGAAAGAGAGTAAATTCTCTACTTCCTTCACAATTATCAATAGTCCCTAGTATTCTATTCGTAAGTAAGCTCAGTAAATGCTATTGATGCACTGACCAGCTGCTCATAACTGAATATTTTACAGATATTTCCT